GACCAGATGCTGGCTTTGAGCTGGGGCAGCACCTAGCCTGCTAACAGCCCGCATAGGCAGCCGCAGTGAGGCACCACCACTGCAGAGGGGGGGACCGGGTGGCCCCCCCCCCCCCAGCCGTGGGTAGTCTCTACCAGAAAAAAAAAAAGTATCAGGCCCCTTGACATTTTTTTCCCCCCTCCTCCCCACTGAGAGCCCCATGCACTATCACCACCACCTTCCCACTGCCTGGGACCATCCAGGAATGGGATGGCTTGCCCCTGGGGCAGTGCAGGAAGGCAACAGGAAGACAGCTGGGTGTGCTAGTGGCTGGAGAAGACAGTGGGGATGGTGCACAGGGCACTGGAAGCCCACCAAGCCTGAGCTTCTCCGATCCTGCCTGGGCTTCCAGCGCCCTGTGCACCATCCCCACCACTTTGTCTGGACACGAGGACACCCAGCCACCCTCCTGCCACCTCCTTGCGCTGCCCCAGGGGCAAGCTCTGGGTGTGCTGGTGGCTGGAGAAGGCAGCGAGGATGGTGCATGGGGCACTGGAAGCCTCGGGGATGGATGTATCACTGCAAATTTGTTAGGTAGCAAATTAAAATACATTGGGATATATGTTTTAGTTTGCTACGTAACAAAGCAACTTACATCGCAATACGCCACTGCATGTGTACAGTGTGACAAAATTCAACTGCTATAAAAGGGTGATTTTGTCATGTATGCAAAGCATCCATCCAGTCCAAGCCTGAGATACTTTATTCATACTGTCAAATTCTGAACAACAAAAAAAAGTGTTTATAGAATTTAAGTCCCCCATCATTCCAGGCCTCTTTCCTGGAATCTCCCATTTGCACTTGCCAGTTAGATCCTGTGTCACAATGTAAAAGGTTGCTATCCACACACAGATTTTAACAAGTTAGGATACAATCCCCTTTAAAAGTAAACCAGCAAAAACACAATCCAATAACTGAGCTTAAAGAATAAACCATTTGAGAGTGCTGCGAGTGCATTTGTTAGTAGTAAAGAAAAACAAATCACTAGAGCTTTGTTTACTTTGACCTCTATATAAATATCAGGAAAAAAAAAAAAAAAAAAAATCATACTAAACATCTTCACCAGATACAAGAAAAACTAATAGAAGGACACCACCTACTGTTACAAGTCTCCTGACAAGTTGTGGATGAGATTAAAAAAACAAAACACACAGAAGTTTAAGACAGACTGATTGCTGTTACATTTTTAAGGGCTTGAACCATGTTAGGATATTTAAGATTAAACCTTGTGAAACTATAGTTAGAATATAAACTGAGGGCCCAGTCCTGCAAATCAACTCTCATGATGAGTTAAGGAGGCCTGATCCAGACTATATTTACACACATGCACTATTTTTTAGTATCAGGCCCAAATCATGTGACAAACAATCAGAAGTAGAATCCATTCCACCTTGAGATAGCAACAAACAAGGTATTATTTGCAACATGTGTCCAAGCATTCTACTGGAGAGGAATGACTGGCCAGTAGTTAGGGGCACCTATACACATGCACCAAGGCTGTTCTGATGCACTGCAATTGAGTCTGCACCAGTGCGCTGTAACCTGGTAATTACCATGAGTAATTACCACGCTACAGCAGACTCCAGCATCACGTGCATCAGTATCCCTGTGCTGAAAAGTGGAGGCAGGGGCGCTTTAACTAGAGCTCATTCAACAAGCTTTAAAGTGCCCCAGTTGCTATTTTTCAGCGCTGGGATGCTGATACATGCAACACTCCAGGCACTTTAATTAAAGCGGCTCTCAAAGCCTCTCTAAAACACCCCCCCAACACACATACACACTCCCAGACCACATGTATAAATGTCCTAGGATACCAAGCTCGAATTTCAGAGAATAGGATTTAGTTCTCTGCTCTCCTATTGACCTCCCACGTAACCATGAGCAAGACATTTAAGGCTAAACAAAAGATTCTGGGGTGTCACAACACCTAAGTTTTACACATGACATATGCACCTAGACTCCCTATCCAATGCATGGTGAAGAGTTTGGTGCTTCAGAATGGTATAAAGTAGGTGCAAGGCCAAACATGAAGCCACTTAAGGTAGCTACCAGGAAATGTTCTTAAGGATTTCGGTGCCTACCCGTGGGCTACAGAGGCAGTCTGCAACCTTCTCCTGGGTTTAGGTACCTAAAGCAGTTCTCTCAGAAGGGGAGGAGAGATCATTCATTTCCTTTTTAAAAAGCTGCAGATGGTGGGGAGGGGTCTTTTAGATCAAAGCTTAGGTTGCCTATACACAAGCAGTGAGGCTGCTCCAGCACGCTGCAATTACAGTGTGTTGTAACAGGTTCAATTAAATCGAGTCTGCTGGAGCGTGGAAATTACCGTGCTCCGGCATCTTATGTATCAGCATCCCCATGCTTAAGAGTGTAGTGGGGGTGCTTTAACTAAAACTTGAATGAGCTTTAAGTTAAAGCGACCCTTCCATCATTTTTAACCATGGGAACGCTGATACATGAGATGCTCTAGGCGCTTTAATTAGAGTCTCTTGGAATCACTCTAATTAAAGCACCCTGCCCCCCACATACACTCCTAGAACATGTATAAATGCCCTTAGGGATTAGGAGCACTTCCCCAGTATGTGAGATACAGGCTCTATAGTTCTCTCTTGCTTCTCCCTCATGTGTAATAGACCTATGCAGACCACAGAAGCATGCAGGCCCCCATTTCGTTCTATAGCTGAACCTATGCCTGTTGACAGAGCCCGGATGGAGTTTGTTGGGGCCAGGCTTCATAAGCCAAATTGCAGTGTTGTCAAATTACACTATTATGGTGATTTTTGTTCTATTTAGTATATTTGTTCAAGTCCCAACTCCTGGATTACATTGAAATTTTTTTTTTTTTTAAATTGAGATTCTTACTCTTGATAAGGTAGTGGGAAAACACTAGTCAAAAAGATGCTCTGACCCTGAAGTCCAAGAAGCAAATTAAAAACTCAATATTTTCTTTACATCTCATTACGTTTAGGTTGCTCTCATAATTTGAGGTTCTGGGTTGTGACTGAATTAACAATACTCTTATTATCTATATTACAACAGCATTTAGAGGCCACAGCTAAGTTTGCAGCTCCTTTGCAGTGGGCACTGTACAAACACATGCATTAAAGGGCTCGCTCTTGCTTTTGTCTATTTAAATCATAGTTATTCATAAGAGATGAGAGATACTGTTCCCATTAAAATCTTGTAACAGGGAAAGGATCCACAGGACCCACTAACATACGATTTCATTGTGGGCAGGATTAAGCAGTTTGCAGGAATTGGCAAGAACATACTTTGGTTGCAGATGTATATTACATTTATCCCAGAGTAATTTCATTCTGCAGAACAACTCAAATCCCTGTACTGAAAAAAGACACAGGCCAGCTTTCCTGAGGTAGCAGTTTGCAGCAGGCACTATTTCAGGTCCTTGCCATTAGATGTCAGGAAAACCAGAGTCACCTTTGTTACTTCAGTGAAAAGAGTTACCCAGAGATGAACTTGATGAGAGTTCTGGACTTGCAACACATCCACAACTATAACTTTATTCAGTAATGCCATCTGTCATGTGCCCACTCCACTATTACTACAAAGTCAGTTTACTCTAGGGTGAGTGTTATATTTTTGCACTTGTTTCCTCATTTAAGAAAACAAACAAATAAAGCGTGTTCCTGGTGGGGGTATGAGCAGAATCTAAGTTGTTGCAAGTGAGAGAGGACAGAAGTGCCAGAAAAAAGTGGGAACAGACATGAATAGGAAAGTTTCTGTGGGGCATGATGAGAACAAGATTGAATATAGTCCTACACTGGGCTATAATCTCCATGCCACAGATGGGAAACTAAACCCCAAAGAGATTCAGTATGTAGACATACTAGACAACATTCATAGAAGTCTGCAGCAATGACAAGACCAGAACTCAGTCCAATAACTTAACAAGACCAGTTTACTTTCTTAAAATAAAATTCACAAGAGAATTCTTTAAAACACAATAAATGTGAATGGTCAAGAGAGGAATTCATGTTTAGTTACCAACATCCAAGAAACATACTATACCACTATTGAAAACATTTGGTCAATTATGACACCAAACTGTGGCCTAATCTCAAAAGGTAGGAACCAGCTGCAAACTCTCACTGAAACTCCAAGCTTGAAGAGTTGCAGGTGTTCAGAGACTCAAGATCAGACTCTATGTAAAACCTTCATGTTATTCAAGTTACTCAGTTTAAAAACTAAGCATTAGTGACACTTTAATATCCAATTTATTGATCTGCCAAACTGCATAAATTAAATCCACCTGTAGATGACAGCAACAAACAAACAACCCCTGCTTCCTTACTTGTCAAGCATGTCATGTAAATGCATTGCTCACATAATTGTTTTCTAAAGACCTGCAAACAAGCCAATATATACAGATGTATCAATTATGTAGTCGCAGTTACTATAATGCAACTGTATACGATTCTTTATGTACAGTTAACTGTTAGACAGCAAATAAATTCAGCATCATTGGGATAGCAGTACGTACAGCACAGAGAACACTTATCAGTGATTCAGTTGGAATCTGCAGGAGATCAATATAAGATTAATTTGGTTTCAAAATAAACACTGCTTTGAATAAAATATACTCTCTAAATTAGCTAATAAAATAAGTCATCCCACTGTTTTTGTGAATAAAGATGCTGTTCTTATATCTATTTAAAATACCTAAAGCAAGTTTTACTAAATAATAAATACTGTGACAAATTTCAACTGGGAGAAACCAACTAGTTTTTGATGGCAGTAATCGATATTACCCATTAGAAATTCACAGAAAACCAGAAAGAACACTTGATTAATTCTACCTAAGGAAATATTCAGAACCCAAAATGAATATCAAGAAGGGACAGTATGTTAATAACTTGCAGGCACATTAATTATTACTTTACTAATGGAGGTCAGAAACCCATGGACAAACTCAGAAGAGAAAAATTGCAACAGAGCTTACTTACCCAGCAGCGAGCCTATAAAGATGACAATTTGCACAGTGGTAGTGAAATGTCTATAGGTTTGCTCCTCACTGTACACCCTGTTTTCCAAGGCACCAATCCCACTGGAGTTTCTGTTGTTCTGTCCAATTTCTGCAGTTGACACATTCCTAATTTCTAAAGCTCTGGTGACAGCTTGATAGAAGGCATGCTCACTTTCATTTCTTGAAATCCAACTTCTATTGTACCCCATGGTGAGCTTTCTTTCTTCCTCCTTCCTATCTAAGAGTCACATGTTATTGAACCGATACCTTTTGGTGAATGTAGCATACAGGCAAAAAACCCCCAAAACACTGCTTTGGTGACTAAATCTTGGTTCGTTGTACCCAACATCGTCAAATGTGTGTCCCGAAAAGTGGGTTTGGCTTTTTGCGTCTGCCTTATAAACCTTTATACTCAGAAACAGAAGAAATGAAAAGAACTGGCTATGCCTTACTATTAGCTGTCCCATATGTCTTGTTTCTCCATGCCAGCATTTCCTCAGCATGTTTTACTGCAACAAGCATGAATGAGAAAAAATACAGTCCACAACATATGCATCAGTCCCCCAACAGCCCAGAAGGTTACCAGAGCAAAAACAACTTACTGTAAATGAAACCAGGATTAGAAAACTTGCAGAACAATGGAACCTGTTTTTCAGCCCTAGCCTCAGTCTCTGCTTAGCTGTTTCACAACCTTGAGAAGAAGAACATCTCTTTTTCAGGACCAAGTCTCCTATAGCTGTCTCCCTACTTACTCTGTCCACTTTTTCTTACAGTGAAGAATTAGCTTATCTTGCATATGTTCTTGCTGTGTGACACTTGATGATTAAAAAAAACAAAAACAAAAAAACCCTTCAAATTCCATTCAGGGGAAAATAAATTAGTGTTCAATGGCTTCCACGGAGCACAAGCTTGCTTTTAGGAAATAATAATTTGTCCTGGAATCCAAAAAAAACCAAAAGATACCACACCATTCTTCACAGAACCAAAAAATACAAACCCAAATAACAAAGCCCTCCACATTAATCCTATGTAAGCTTCTGTTAGCATACCTCCAGATCAAGCACAATTCCCTTTAAGAACTGGAACAATGTATATTCAAGCATCTGAATGATAGACTCTATCTGTATTCTTGTCACTCCACAGATTGCAGACTACCTTCAAATCCTCAGAGCTCGCAGCAAGGCTGCTACACTGGCTCCTAGGCAGCTTGCAGCACTGACTGCTGAACTGCCAGCTGCTCTGTTCATAGAAATGCTAAAGAGAAATGAGATCACATGACCCTCAGCTGAAGGCTCTGGTTTTTGATGGCAGCCATCTTGCTCAAGGAGTTGTCAGTTCAAGGTACCTGAGAAAGAGAGAGGAAAGCATGAGCCCAAGTTTGTTTTCAGGGAGACAAGTTCCTATTGTGATAACTAAATAGAACGATTCTCAATACCAGGAGGGAGGAAGAGAATATTCTCTTCTCAGTTTCTGCTCCTAATGCTCATTCGGATCAACATTCATTTTCTGACTTTGTATTTTAAAGATCAGTCCTACAACTTTTGGAATACAACTTTCCTAACTGTCTCTTCCCCTCCATGAACATATCACGTGTTAATGCAGTAACTCATCTGGGGATGCCGCTCCTATTTGAACATACACACTGCGTTATTTGATTGCACAAAAGGTTTTGAATGTGCATTGTAAGCTGCTGGCTTAAATAACTTTTCAAATATGGCTCTTATACTGGGGGTAATTGTAGCTACATCACTCATTAAAGGCATGACAAGTAGGTTTTTGAAAATTCACCCCTGAAGATTCCCTACAAGTATTCTAGTATAAATTTATTCAAAGATACACAGTTACATTTAAACATTGTTAAATTAATAAAGCCAGGTAAAGTGTTACTCAGTTACTGGTGATCAATTATTTCTTGTTATAAGTATTGTTAAATTCAGTTATGTATTACACCTACATTCCCCTCTTGTAAACTGAACATGTTAGGCAAACTGAGAGCAAGTTCCTAAGGGACCATCTCAACTCCTGTGACTTGATTTCTTCTGACAGCTATCTTCTACTGGAATAATGAATTGACAACCTAAAGAGTGAAACTCGTGTGAAGGAAAGAAAGATTTTTAGCAACTGGTCATCAAGTCTCAATTCACTCCCCTGAATTAATAAGGATGAGCATGAGTTTTAACTCCTTCATAGTGTGATAAAAATGTGTTATAATCTAGTCATTATGATTTTACAATAACGTTTGTATAACAGCTGTATGGTAAAAATGTCTCATCTCACTACACAAAGGCTTCACAGCTAAGAACTGTTTGGCTTTGTGGTAAAAATACATTATGACCTGGGCCTCAGTTGAGTAATAGCTGTATGAGTCCCTCATGAGGCCCTCATGATCCCTTGTGTAGGAAGCACAAGGCCTAACGTCTGAGTTGTGGGTTTCTTTTTCCTTCCTGCTTGCTCTGCATTTTGTAGCCATACTTGCATAATGCCCTGAAGTTACACTAAGGTATAAGGTTACTAAAAGACACTAACTTTGCCACAGTTCTGCTTTTGAAATACGCATGCACTAAACTTAACAGGAGATATTAACCAATAGCAAACTAAGCCTAGCCCATAAGATAAGACGTAACAACAAGGAAATTGTGGTACTGCCAATAGTTGTATGACACGTTGTAGCCCTTTGTTTATGTAAGCTATAAAAGTGTAACCCCGAGAGAAATTGGGGGGTTGACACGGATTTGAGCATTAAGCTCCCTTGTCGAACTTGTTTGCAAACAATAAATCTGAAATTGGACCCAGACTGTGTGTGTGACTCTCTCCTAGAGGTGGATTGGTCTAGCCTTCAGGGGCATGAAACTAGCCGTTTGTGCAACAATAGCAAAATGCAAAACCTGGCCTTCTCATAACAGCACTGATATTTTTAAATATATACAATACAATATAAACTGTTCTCATGCCAAATTCTGTAACCAAAGGTATGCCTCTTTAGAGCATGTATAATAATCAGGGATCATGGTTTTCTCTAATTTAAAAAAAAAATCCCCAATTTTTGGTTAAAAATAGCAACCCTCAATCTACATTTTCCCATGATTAAAATGAAACACCACTATATAGATAGTCTCCCTCTAACTTTCTGGCGCCTACTCTGATATGCTGTTCTCTCTACCATTCCTCCCCCTCAAACCTCCCTAACTCCTTGTCTTTTTGCCTTGTCCCTACCAGTTCTCCTCCATACTGTGGCTCCTCATTAAATGTTTTCCCTCCCACCTGGTTTCAAATCCCTTCTCATTTCCCTCTCCAGTCTTTTCCCATCCCCAGCTCCAGCTTTCCATCCCCCCACTCACTGCCAGCCTCTATTAGCCCAAAGGCTTCTTCTCTCAATCTATACTTTCTGCTTGGTCTGGTTCTTGTCTACACTACATTTGAATCAGGCAGTTTTCATGTCTACACTGGCTGAACTAGGCAATGTTGGGAATGGTGGAGACACCTGCATTCAGTCCCAATATCTGGACTTGGCACAACCCATAGCAGACACAACTACAATTGAAAGGTTTGATTCATCCCTGTATGGGAGCAGACTCAGTACAGAAACAATCTTTGCAGATTTTTTAGCTTCAGTCTAATGAGTTTCCCAATTACAATTTGTCAGAATCTATCATTTGGACATATTTTCACAGAAATGGCAAAAGACACATCCCTTACATAAAGGCCACCCACCGCTCAGTTCAAATTCCTGTTCCAAAGCATAGCATCATAACAGTCTCTAACATGGCAAAACAATTTATTTTTCACAAACCTTGTTCTTGGACACAACTGAACCATTTCGTCTGAAATTTTCCAAAAAAAAACAAAAACAAAAAAATACTCTAGCCTAACACAGTCATCTGTCATGGAATAGTCCAAATGTTTAAACTCTGGCAAAGTTATAAACAGGGTCTTATACTGGGAAGAGTTGGGCAACCTTCAATATATGTGCTATTATCAGTCCTGTAATTACTGCATCACACTAAATAATTTCCTACCAGCATATGCAGAGGTGGATCCAGGATTTTATTAAGGGGGGTGAGGGAGCAACAACTGGTGCTACAGCAGGTACTGCACTCCTGCTCCCAGACCCCCCTGCCACCACAGGGGTAGCAGGGTTCAAAATACACTCTGATTCTTGAAGGGTGGTCTGCAGCAGTGGCAGCTGGAAGCCAGAAGAAGCCATTGCTGTCACCTGAGCTGCTTAGAAAGGCATGGGGCAGGCCAGGGGCTCTCATCTCTTATGGTGGGGCTCAGCCCCCTCCCCCCCACCTCCCCATGTTTTGAACCCTGGGGGTAAACAGACCATGCCAAGAGAACAGAAGGCAGCAACTTCTTTAATCCCCCCAGTCAAGTAAGGACCTTTCCTCCCCCTCTCAATTCCCTCTTCCTTCCCCTCCATGCTCAAAAGCACATCTCTTCCCAGTCCCCCTGCATTCTCCAGCTGATCTGGGGGCAAGGAGAAAGGCTCCAGAGTTACTCCTGCCTAACCCCAGCCAGGCTGAGAGCTGGGCTCAGCCTGGGACAGCCACAGCAGCAGCAAGAGAGCTTCCTCTCCTGAGCCTGCTCACAAGCTGGCAAGGAACACACAGAAAACCAGGCAGGGAGAAGCCTGCCTATTCTCACTGCCACTGTCCCTGGGCAGATCCAGAGGGGACGTCGAGGGGGCACAGTGGTACAGTCATACCCCTCCCACCTGGATTCCTGGCCTACCCAAAGTATAAACAAACTGCCTAGCAGTGGCAGCAACATTTTTATTCAGGCAGCAGTGAAGGAGTCACTAGACTTCATGGTTTATTATAATCTACCCCATCCCTTCTAAACTCTTTATTCCACAGGTGTTAATGACCCTATTTCCTTTTTAATGATCTTGGTGTTCACTAACCAAGGCTGCAACTGAACTCCAGCTAGCTTTGAGCATCAAGGACAATAAAATGTCCTTTTTCAGATATGTGGGGAGCCGGAGGAAAAGCAGGGGCAACACTGGACCCCTGCTGAGCCAGATGGGGCAACTGACAACTGACGCCCAGGAAAAAGCCAACCTATTAAATAGGTACTTTGCATCAGTCTTTCATCAGTCCCATGGGACGCCCATGCCCGCTACAGGACCGGGAAGTCCAGGTGAGGGTGATCCCCTGCCCTCCTTTAATGCTGATGAAGGAACATCTTGAGAAGCTGGATACCTTCAAATCAGCCGGCCCGGACAATCTTCACCCCAGGGTACTCAAGGAGCTGGCGAGCATCATAGCCCAGCCTCTAGCACGGATCTTTGAAAACTCTTGGCACTCTGGTGTAGTGCCCGAAGACTGGAAGAAGGCCAATGTGGTGCCTATCTTCAAGAAAGGGAGGAAAGTGGATCCGGCTAACTATAGGCCCATCAGCCTGACTTCTATCCCAGGGAAGATCTTAGAAAAGTTTATTAAAGAGGCCATCCTTAATGCACTGGTCAACGCCAACATCTTAAGGGATAGCCAGCACAGGTTTGTTG